ATGTTCAAAATGTCTACAAATTTGATGGTGAATTGTCCATTAGAGACAATGTTCAAGAGGTTTATTGATGCTTTCATGCTTTAGACAAGTCACATGATACATAAGTCTTTTTTAATGTGGTTGACCAGTATATATAGGAGAGAAGGAGGATAAAGTGGTCTAAGTTATATGACTGATATATATTCAGCTAAATTATGATGACCTCCAGGTTATTGACAGAAAAGAGGCCACATATTTTCTGGTCCCTTTGTACAGCACATTGTATAGACCTCATGCTTGAGGCTATTGATAAGAGGAAGACATTCATGACAACCATTCAAAAAGCAAAGAAAGACAATTTATTTGTACAATCACACTCAGGTGTATATTTTAATATGGGCAAGCTTTCTATGCTTCCCTTACAATATAAAACTTATATACTTCCCCTTATCCAACCGTCCATTCTAAACGGGACTAAGATTGCCCCAATCACAATTTCACATCTATACTATTTTTATTTTTAATTTTTTTCTCTAAACTATTTTGACACCAAATTTTGTACGTCCAATCCTCTATTAAACTCGCACTAGAGAAAAATATAAAAAAAATATTTCCAATAAATTAAAATGATCAAAATACCCCTGAAAGTTTCAATGGGTATTTTAGTCATTATATTTTATCAAAAAATTATTTTTAATATTTTTTATAGGTGCACCCCAATGAGAATATTTCATATTCATACAAATGTATAAAAAAACTAAAAATAAAATACTTTGAGACATCGGATCTAAGATCAACGATGAGTGGCTTTCTTGATCAAAATTGGACGACTGGATGGTAAGGGAAGCATAGTTCTTCTATGATGTAGGGGAAGTATAGAAACCTTTCCTTTTTACTATTATATCATGTTTAGTATTAATGTATTATGCTTCTTTAATTATTTTGAGTATTTTTAATGTGTTGAGTTATTGAAGGTAATTTAATTAACTTAGGGAATTCTATGTTGGTTAAGTCCTAGCCATGATGAGGAAATTCACTAAGTACAGAGACTTAGTGAGGTCTGGGGTGACTAGATTTGCCACCTCATACCTGTCCCTGCAATCTTTATTTGAACAGAAGGAAAAATTGAGGTCCACGTTTGTGTTTGACGATTGTACCAAGTCCAAGTGGTCCAAGAAAGCAAATGGAAATGTTGTTATGGACATTATCATGGACTCAAGATTTTGGAACAAGGTCTAGTATGCCTTCTTTGGTAACGGTTCTCAAGATGATTGATCCTGAGAAGAAACCTGCTATGGGGCATATTTATAAAGCCATGAGGATGCAAAAGAAGAAAACAAGAGATTTTTGGGGAGATGAAAAGAAGTATGAGGAGCTTTTGAAGATTATTAAAGACAAGTGGAACTACCAGCTTGAGAGGCCACTACACATAGCAGGATACTACCTTAACCATTCTCACTTTTACAGTGATGCTAAGGTACATAGTAGACCTGTTCATGGACACTTGCAACCAGTGCAATGTCAAGCTCAAACCTGATCCTAAAGTGCAGGATAAGACAATGATGGAATTAAATTTGTATAGGCTCACTACTGGATCGCTAGGTAAGGAGGTGGCAGTCAGGCAGAGAGGTCCAAGATCCCTCCCTATAAGTTTAGAACTTCCTAAATTTGATTTTATGATTTGAGTATTTTATTTCAATTACCCAAATACCTAATTTACTAAAGGGTGAGGTTTGTATAGAGCCTACGCTCTAAACAATCAAATTAGAGCCTACCTTCAAATAGTGTCGAGAAATGTGGTTTCAATATTTAGAAATATTTGTGATAGCCTTAAAATATGTTTTCACATTTATTTATAAAGTTTAAAGCTTCAAAAATAGTGTAGATAGACATATCTATGAAAACTTGAAGATCTTGAAAATTGACGGTCCAAAAATGCATTACAAAATATACTATTTCCAAAACTTGCAATCCATTTTTTTTCTCATGTTCATGCATCTTTATGTTGAGATGATCAACTTGAAGATATTTGGGCATCAAACCAACTTCTTTTGGTGAAATTTTTGAGGTAGGCTCAAATTTGATTGTTTAGAGCCTTGGCTCTATATAAACTTTTTCTTTTACTAAATTACTACATTTACAATTTTATATTTACATGAAATAGGTACGTGGTGGATTGGCCATAGTGGAAACATCCTTCATTTGAGGTAGATGGCTATGAAAGTACTAAATCTGACTTGCAGCTCTTTTGGATGTGAGTGCATCTTCAACACCTTTGAAATGATAATATTACTTATTTAGTTTTTCACTTAATAAGTTAATAGTTACTAATAATAGTTACTTAATAGTTAATTTCATACATACTTAGCAGTTAGTATTTAGTTAGTAACTAAGTAAGTTTTTTCGTATTAGATACATACAAAGAAGAGGAACAAACTAGAGCAAAAACGATTGAACGACCTAGTCTTTGTTCAATATAATCAGAAGTTGCAAGAACGCCATCGACAGTTGGAGCACAATGAAAGGGAGGTCATTGAAGCTTTTGATATTAATGACACATGCGAGGGACTGATCAATGCTAATGATGATGAGGTATTCCCTAGAGGGCTTGACCTGAGGCCAAGTTTGCGAGGCTGTTGGGACATCAATGGCCCCTATGCATACCATTTGAGTTCAATCTCAAAGTCAAAGCCAAAGGAAGGGGAAGGAGAAGGCCCAACAAGGGAAGGTAGTGGTGAAGGAGAGGAAGAGCGTGATGACATCAAAAGAGGATGAGAAAGAAGTAGATTCGAAAGAGACGAGGCATGATGCTCAATAGGCTAAGGAGGGTGATGACTCTTATGATGGCATGGCATCGTCATCATCAGATGCTCCTCATGATCCACTTGAACGCCCTGCATGGTGATGCTGTTGATGCCATAGAATTGTTTGGTTGATGACTTAATGTATTTTTTTTATTTTTTTTTGTTTTTGCCTTATTGACTTTGTGCATTTGTTTCTAAACATATGGGATTTCACGTGTTTTAACGTCTTATAATCTCTTTGAGACATGTATCCATAAATCGGTTATGTGTGCAATTGTAATATTATATTTTGCATGGCATTTGGGGCTCTAAAATTGCCTTAAAAACTCCCTAAAACTTAAAACCCTACCTAAAAACTCCTTTGTTTTTTGGGTTTAATCCTTTGTTTTTTGGGTTTGGAGGGGGTACTGTTCAATTTTTGTGAGGATTGTGAGGGTACCTTGGTCCTACTTTCTTGAGCATTGGTCCTCATTGATTCTTCTCAAATCAACACCTCAATTCACTAAACTCAGGAAATAGCAAGAGCATAGAGATGATTAAGAGTATAGAAGGAAAAAAGAATTCGCCTCCAAATTTTATTAAGTCAAAGTTTTCAAACAAAAAAAAGTCATAAACCAGCCCTCAAACCCTTTAGTAACCAACTATTTCAACAAACCCAAATTAAAAGCTCTTACAAAATTGTAGCTAAACTGAAGAAATAGCAAGAGCATAAAGATGATTAAGAGTAGAGAAGGAAAAAAGAATTCACCTCCAAATTTTAATAATTCAAAGTTCTCAAACAAAAAGTCGTAAACCAGCCCTCAAACCCTTTAGTAACCAACTATTTAAGCAAACCCAAAACTTTAAAAACTCGTAAAAAATTGTAGCTAAGATTTTGTGAAGCCCAGCGGTGTTCATTAACAGTCCTCACATAAACATATTGGGAATCCTTAATTTGTTTAGAAAAAGATTTTGTGAACTTCAGCGCAAAAAAAAAGAAACAAGGAACTCCAAATACAATCATCATGCCGTTCATCATAGCATCATCCACTATGCTTAATTAACATGCATAAAGAGTTCGATGGCAAAAGAGAATACCAAATTTCAAGAGAACAATAAGAGGATATTAAATGGACATGGAAAGAGTGCCCAAAAGATGTATCCTTTTAACTAAAGAGATATTTACGTAAAGCTGCAATTGCTGCAGGGACAGTTCCACAAATCCCCATGCAGACGGCAACAGTTTGGAAGTTTGAACCAAATCACAAGCCTGTTCGGCACAAGTGGTCCAATGCAGCATAGGAAACGCTTTCAAAACCTCTCTCCAATTCTTCCTAGTTAATGAAGTGCGTAATGGAAATCTGACAAAACATAATGGTGTTTACTCTAGCACAGGGGAGATTCTCGCCGAAGTTCTTAACAAACCATAGGGGTTAATAATACAGCGAAATGGAGGATCAAATCCAAATTTTCATTAACCTTTTGCACCTAAACTTGGATCTTGCCTTGCCCAGAGTTTGAAGCCAAGTACTAAACACAAAACAGGAAATGAAGGGAATTCTACAAAAGGAAAATGGGAACCGGAAGTTGCAGAGCAATGAATACTCAAGAATATACTCCAAAAATTTGTCAATCTTCACAAGAAAGGCCAAGCTGGCCACAAATTTCTAACTTCCTCAAAGTCTCCACAAAAGGATCTCCGTTCTATCTTACAAAGACAAAATAAATAAATTAATAATAATGCCTGAGTGAAGTTTGCAGCTACAGCTAGTACCAAAAAGACTCACAATACTTTCAGCACCATCAGCATAAGGGAGAGGGAAAAAGTAAGAATGAGTCGTGAGAAACTAAATAATTAACCCCCCCTGTCATTTCTTTTAATCAACATGTCAAGTATTAAAATGTAAACTAGATATGGAAACCAGATGTGTAGAGAGCCAGGAGAATCGACAAAACACTTAAAGCTCTGTTTGGCACACACCAAAGTTAAATTCTTAATGCGATGGCGGCAGAGTGGCATTGCACTCCATAAAATAGGAGCAAGAAAAGGGTCAGGGGATCTTTCAAAAATTTTGTCAAAGGGGCCTTAGGAGCGACATTTTGAATGTTCAATCCCACGCATAAGGTAATGGCAAACATTAACCAATCGACAGGCATATCAGAGCTATTGTATTTTAATGCATAAATACACAAATACAGCCTTAACTAAAAATAGTGTAACTACGAACAATTATCTGAAGCCCGTAAATCAAAGACTTTTTTATAATTGTCCAATGAGCTTTTTCTTTTATGATTGTTCGTTGAGCTTAAGACATTTAAAAATAGAAACCAATATAATAAGCCATTGTACTATCAGTTTTGTACTATTGTTTTATATACAGTACATGCACTAAGTATCACTTATCTATACATAAATCAGAAGTGATCCGTAAAGTCAGAAGGATCCAAACCAGAAATAATACATCACAATGTGCGATCACCCACGTCCTCTGATAGCCGGGACAGAAAGGAGTACATTTGAGTCAGAAAGCAATTCAAACCGGCACTTTATTAATCAAACCTAGTCAAGTACCAGCATGAGCTCAGCAATCTTGACGCACAATAGTTTGACTACCTGCATCAACATATATCTCACATGACACTTCCGCCTGAAGAAACAACAACAGAAAGAACTCGTTCAGTATGTGTTTAAGATGATGATTGCCTTTTTTGCCATTGTAGCATTAAATTTTAAGAATAGTATAATTACTTACCATTGTATCAGTATTAATATAAGTTGTTGCATTTATTTGTATATAGCACATTCAAAGAAGTCTAGTCATGATTTGGCACGTGGTTCATAAAAAGCACAATCCACAACAGAGATAAGTGTCTTAATGTGCAAGTTTTTGCAAACCAGTTCACAAGCCATATACAGAAGCAAATTGAGAGATAAAGGTTAGTCTGGGTTGGAAATGGTTATATTATTCATCATGTTCAGCCAGATGGAGTAACACACTAGATTTGTCATATACTCCTATATAAATGAAGCTACTTATAGTCATTGCTCATATTATGAAAGCCATTAGTTGTTACTAATTATTAATCTTTAATTCCTGATATTCATGCTAACAAAGCAAAAATAAATAAAGGACCAGGAAATTATCAGTCCGTCGGCCTTAACTTTATGGTCCATAAACTTTTGGAACAGCAACCAGAGATGCCAGATAAAGATAACCAAGAAAGGCAACCAAACAATAGATCTTTGGAGTCCATAAGGACCAAGGCACATGAAAGGTGCATGCAGACTTCAAATGGAAACTCAATGCCATATCTTTTCAAGATGGATGAAAAGATACAGACTCCTAGAGGAAGTTACAACGGACTGCTACCAGATGGCCATGCCCTCTGGCAAAACGGGTGTTGCAGGGACAATTGTCATGCTATAGAACACTAACTCTAGATTTTTGAACGCACCTTCTTAACTCTTGGAAAAGGTAGACTTACATTATTTGACTCAAACGTCCAAGATGACCCCCTCAGAACAAACACAGTCATCACCAAAGTCTAAGGGCACATATTAAGAAACAGAGTCTGATGGAATCAAAGATAATAGGCTATTCCCTACCTCTGGCATCTATTCGGCTACAAAGAGTGGAGATAACTGACGGTGATGTCCATGGTTATCATATTTTACAAGACATCACATCCTAAGACTGCGTTAAACTTCGCATTCCATGACCCATGCATTACCACACTATTTGGCACCCATAAAAGCTTATGAAGCTGCATAGCAGCATCAAAAACTCAAGATACTCCATTATGCCAGAGTTCACATATTATAACTTGAAAGCACCCAACATGGTATGAAGTGCCCATGAGGGGTGCCTTAAGTTCATCTATGTCCTGCCATTAATAATTGATCATAAGTACACAAGAAATACTCATAGAGATTTAGCTTTTGCAATTAAAAAAAGCTCAAAATTCTTGGACAAAACTCACCAACAGTATCTGTCAGTGGAGATTTAACTGACAATTATTTTAATTAAATAAAGCAAGTATAACATCATCACAAGGTGAACCAAATATGGCTTAAAACTTCATCTGAAACTTTGCAGTCAAGCTTTTAAGGGAAAGTCATCAATTAGATACTTTCCTCAGAGTCTCCAATCCTTTTTATGGGCCCAAGGTTCACAACCAGTACTACAATTTAGGCAATTGAAAAATACGCTAACTGTTTCAGCAGACACCGATTATAAAAATGAAAAGGAAATACATGCCCTACTGAAGTAGACCATTCCGAAAGGGTAGGAGCTTAAGTGAATCAAAATGGAAGAAGTCTTGAACTTCACATTGACGCCCCACATAAGAACAAATGCTGTTCCTTTTAATTCTTATTAGTAATGGATTTCTCAAATTTCATTTAATCGAAAGAAGTATGTTATTCAATGAAATAGGACATGGAAAGAATTTACCATGGGGAAGTGAAACTAAATCGTGCTTTAGAGGCCCCACAAGAGAGCCTTCAGTTAGCACTTTCCCTTTTTTTTTTTTTTTTTTTTTGTGCGATTAAAGGGGCTTGAGTTATCATCTTGTTATGAAGTATTAACCAATCATCCCAAATGCAATGGGTAATTGTTTTAATGTAGATTACATCGACTTAGATTCACAGAAAAATGATTTAATATATGAGTCTCCATGCCCAGAAAGATCTAAATTCAACAAAACAAGCAAGTTAGGGAAATCAAATTATGGAGTTTGAATATCAAAAGGGATATGACTTGTGCATTCTGGAACTTTATAAGGCATTTAAAAAAGTCCAATCCTATATGTGGCAATAGGGCTCATTTAAAACATAAAAACCTTCCCCAGAGATCTTGGAACCCAAAGGCATCATTAGGTGCAAAAAAAGAAAAAAAAAGATCCTGTCAAGAATTCACATTCTACGGTGAGAGGCATCAGATGTGGAAAACAGACAATCCCCAGTTAATACACTGGTTTACCTTGGCGCCCAGACAAACCACCTACGCCATGTGGGACCACATTATCGAGGATTTGACAGAATGTCAGATAGATCCAGGGAAGGCCAAATACTTATCTTTGGACAGAAGGATAACCCCAAATAAGTCAAACTTATCTAACTTTCCAGTATATGCAATGCTCCCTTTCTCTAATCAAAACCCCATTGCTAACCATATAGAAAGACTTCTGAGAAATTTTCTAAGGAATGGCTCATCTGAAAATCGAAGAACACATCTAGTGAGCTGGGAGAAGGTCTGCAAGTAAAACAATAAAGAGGATCTGGGAATCAAAGAAATTAGGGAAACAAATCAGGCACTATTTGGAAGGTCCTAGTGGAGATTTGGGGAATCGGAGGAGCAACTATGGGAAAAGGTAACGGGGGAAAATATGGCATTAGAGAAGAAGGTTTTCTGTTTGAAATCAGTACACAACTGTCCTCCAGTTTCCGGCATCTGGATTGGGGGAATCAGGTGAGCAACAGATTCAAGAATAACATTAGAATACAGGTGAGAGACGGGAAGCTCACCAAGTTTTCGCATGACCAATTTATGGAGGAACCAAGCAAAGCTTCTTTAGTTATTCAACTTAATCACAAAACCAAATTCTCTGTCACCAAATATTATAAGGTGAGTGGCATTGAGATCTCTGGAATATAAATCTAAGAAGAGAACTGAAAGATGAGGACCTTCAGGCGCTAATCGAATAACTAAATGAATTGCATAATTTTTTCTATTACTGAGGAAAGAGGACCATGTGATTGGATCCGAGGCCACAAGAAAGTTTCTCGGCAAACCCCTGCTACAAGATTCTGATGTCAAACAAAGCCCTCACTGTGGACCCTTATCAGCAGAGCTATCCTGATTTAACAGATGTATATTGTGCAAAAGTGATGGAGGAAGAGTGACCATCTATTATTGCACTGTAAAATCACAAGTGCAATTTGGTAAGAGGCTCTGCACTTCTCCGGTCTGCACAAGGTACAACCGGAGTCAATAGACACATTACAAATACAATCATATTCTTATCCCCTACCTAAAACTGATTTGGTCATAAGTCAAATCACTGTTCTGGCAATTTTTTCGTTTTTATGGCAAGAGAGAAATGATCGTGTATGCAAGTTGAGGCACCATGGTTTGCAATGGGTAAAGGACTGGATTAAATCCAATGTTCACCATGGTGAAGAAAACCCTGGGGCTATTCAGCAATTGACTTTGAGATGCAATGGGATACCATATCCAGAGGCACACCACACCAGTATATAAGCTAGCTGGAAACTTCCACGTCAAATTTTTGAAATTAAACTTTGAAGGCAGCTCAAAGGTTAATCCTGGTATTGCCAGGATTGGAGTTTTTACATCAAGACGTATGCCAAACACCCATTCAGTCCCATTACTTGGTTGTGGATCAAATGAAGCGGAAGTGAGAATTTTAACAAGGACTGCATGTTTAGACCCAAGGTCAAAGAAGCTGCACATACAAGGTACTTCAAGGAGTGTAATCTCATGGGTGAATAAAACTCAGGATCACCATGGATATTATCCAACATGTTAGATGAAATTTTTGAATTCAAAATCGGCCTCAGGTGACATTTCTTCATCTGTGGGGAGATGCAAATTATTTGTGCATAATTGGTGTAAGATAGGTCATCCAAACCATACTTTGTAATGACGAAGTCTTGATGATTTAGACAGACACTAGAAGAGTGCAGTTTCATATATGGCTCTATACATATCCAGCTGTCCATGCTTTTTTATCGAAATTTGCACATGACAGCTCCTGAATATAGAACTTTTGAATAGTGAGAAAGGTTAACTTTCAGTAAAAAAGAGTATATTCTACTGCCCACATCAATTTTTCCATCAGCCATTAAAGGAACACAGATTAGTCAATTCCTTCTAATTCAT